TGTATGTGCTTGACCAATAAGAAAAAAAATGTTCTGGAATTTCCTTACAGCTTAGACGGTAAAAGTTTGCGCAGAGTCACTGAATACAAATATCTAGGTGTCGTGTTAACGTCTAATTTAAACTGGAATGCACATGTCAAATACGTATCTAGTAAAGCGCTCGTCAAATTATTTTTTCTAAAAAGAACGTTAAAACACTCTAGTCGTGAAACCAAGTTGTTCGCATACACCACACTCGTTCGCCCGGTATTAGAATAGTCACTCATTGCTTGGTTCCCACATACGCAAACCAATGTCAACATCCTCGAAAGTGTTCAGAGGAAAGCGATAAGATTTGTTCACCACAAGTATGGTCGCTTTGATTCCCCTACAGAATTGCTGAAAAGATCCAGCCTACTGACCATTGCTGATCGCGCAAAACTAGGAAGACTCAAATTTTTATATCTCCTTTTAAACGACGCCTTTAAAATGGACAAGAACAAGTATGTGAATTTTTCCCAGGCAAGAACAACAAGACATAAACACTGCAATACATTAACTGAATACTCTTTCAATAATAATACTTTTAGGTACTCTTTCTTTCCTTCAGCTGTAAGAGATTGGAACAGCCTTGATCAGCTGTTTTTTAGCTACACAAATGTGGATGCGTTCATTCAAGCTCTTGAACAAGACCTTCTCAGCAAGTTCATCAGTTAGTTCTTTCTGTTCTGTTCTGTTTCGTTTGTTTCAATATGAAAGGAAGTGACGATTTCTAAGAATTACTTATTTTCGCGCGCCTCAAAAATTGTGTCTGTTGTTTTTATTTGTACCATACCTGCTATAATCCCTCAATGGGGATTGGGAGTATTTTGAAAATAAAATAAAAAAATAAAAAATAAAATAACCTGTCCTGCTGGGGCAATGATGGAGGGAAGTGATCAAAATAAAAGGAAACAAAAACTGAAGGTCACTTATGGCGGCGCCCATGTACAGCTGCTGAAAAGCGTCTATACATCTTTAACGCCTTGTCAAACATAGAACGCGGTAACCATATTTCTGTGGAGGGTATACACGATTTGTGGCGAAGAAAATGGGTGGTTTAGTTTTTGGCGTCTGTTGGGTCTCGCAAGCCTTTTACGATTAATCTCGCGATCGATGTCCGCAGTGACAAGAGGCTTTCACGAAGTGTTTTTTTCGACCACCCTTCGGCTTAGCAGAATGAGTGCTTTAAGGATACGTTTGCATACATTTTCAATCGTCGCAGCGTTTCATAACGTTAGCAGCTTTATGCTGCTTGTTTTAGTAACACGATGTTGCTGTCAATCGCAATTTTTTCCTTTCGGAATGAGAGGAATATATGGTAAAGGTCAGCTATTCCAGGAGTGCGAATCAACCCAGTGTTTCTATTCCCAAAAACTTGCAAATAATTGAATTGTAGGAAACTCTAACTTCTCGGAAAGGAATTAGAACGGAGCGGGGTGCACACCCCGCAACACTGGACGTCAGTACTTTTGAACAATACCGATGCGGCTCTGGTGGGTCTGATGATGGTACCTGCGTCGCCGCCGTCTGTCACGAGGAACTGGAAAATAAAAACAACACGAAGCCATATCGCGGCAGGAATGAGTTACCATGCACACAAAATATGCCTGCCCCATTGTGCATACTGGGGCACGGCTACTTCCTCTTCTCCAAAAAAAAAAAAAAAACACTAAGAAGGCGTGAACATAATGCACTTAGAGCTCGTGCCACTTTTCGTCGTCTTCATCGCCCTCTCAAATTGTATCGGAACAGAGACGGTGAGCAATCTTCCGAGAGGTGGTCCGGCTCGTCGCCAACTTAAAACTGGGCACCTCGCCTCCTCGGGTTTATAGACAGCCTTTAGGTCGGCGACATAAATAAACCCACACACGTCACCATATTCGCAATGCACCAGCTCATAAGACAGGTTAGAGAGATTTTGCTAATACGGTTGGGGCCATCCCATCTGCTAAAGAGGCCGTGAAGCCTATAGCCGCATCAATTAGCGATGTGCGCCAAACAGTCATTTTTTCGTTTCCTCGGATGCCAATGTGACTAGGAATCCCGGAAAAAGCTCCTGAATTTATTTTTTATTGCAAGAATTATTTTATCATAAATTGCTATAATAAGAGGTTTTAGACATTTGAAGAGATGAGTGATGTTAACACACAGAGAGAGTCGCAGTAAACTACTGCGAAGGCAACCCTGTTTTCAAAATTATGTTTTGCTGCAAGGAGAGCATAGATTTCGGCAGTCAGTATTGTTGGCGAGTTATTATTCCTTCTAACCTTTTCAACAGAGGGTCCCACCAGTGAACAGACGACATACAAGCCTGTTTTTGTGCCATCAGTGTACAAGCAGTACTAACGATCACAGATCGAAGACGTGGAAGTGGGGCAGATACGTTTTAAAAAGGAGCTCGTGGCCAGGGAGCTCTTGCCTCGGAACAGATGAGATTGACGAGTCAGATCGGACTGCTTTCTTGCTTGTGCGTAGTGCAAATAAATGTTGCTTTAACATAACTAAGCATGACTACAAGAAGTTTCAACATTGGTGCCGAAACCCTGGACGTAACGACTTAACGAAGGGAATCTGGTAGACCGAAGCAACACCTATCGATCTACAGAAGCAAGCGACATTCGATCGAGACAAGATTGAAATATCATGGACGTCCTCAAGAAGAAACGGAAGACTCTGCTAACGCAAGAAACAAAACTCCTCAGCGAGGCAGAGGACTTACTTCAGCTGACTCCGGCGGTCATCGTTGATCTAGAGATTTCGATCGAGCGCATAAGCCTCGCTCAGGATCAACTCAGCCACGTAAATGCAGTGTTCGAGCCTTTGATCACCGAAAGAGACGCGGGAACGAAGTTAACGTAAGTCATAAACTACACCGACAAGATCGTCACATGTATCACGAAGCTCAAAAAGAAGGCGAAGGGCTTGGAGAACAGCCCCCAAGCAAGCGGTTCCCGAACGACGATAGGAGGGCAACACCAGTAAAAGCGAAAGTCAAGCTCCCATAATTTGAACTAATCAAGTTCGACGGCCACGGGAAGAATTGTCAAGCATTCTGGGAGCAGTTTGAAACCAGAAACAACGAGAAACCGGAACTGACTCCATCAAATTTTTTTTTTAATTACCTGAGATTATCATTTACCGGAGGTGGATCGGATGCCAACCAGTGGCTACAGCCACCCGCTCAGTGCCACCCGGACGCGATCCGCCTTCTACAGGAGCGGTTGGGCAAGCAAGGGGCTCTGGTACACGACCACATGAAAAGTCTGATGGTCATCCAGAAGGTACCACCACAGGGCAATGCCCGAGCCCTGCGTCGCTTGTACGATAGTATTCAGGCGCACATCTGGGGACTTAGAGGACTGGATGTGTGTGAGGAACTCTACTGTGCTATGGTAATTCTGCGAGCACTACCGAGGGATATGTTCCTGGACTACAACCAAAAGATGTCGTCGGAGAACACCGGGAACCCCACTGCAGCTGCGGGCGCCGGTCCCGGGTCTCCAACAGAGAACGTTCACCTGAGAGCACTGCGGATTCTGCTGGAATTGATTCGAGTCGAAGTCGAGAGCCGGGAAAGGACGTCAGATGAACAAAAGGCCGACTTTCGCAGTAAGGCTGCAGTTCGATACCATAAACAAGAACTGCCGAAGAATCTCTCGAACTACACGAAGCTTCGAAACTCTACTGTGGCGGCCTTGTACCTTGTATGGCAGAACTGAAGGCTTAGCATGTTTGTTCTGCGAATCTAGGTGACACGCCACACCTGACAGAAACTCCAATGTTGAGCTCACTGAGAAGAAACCTTATACTACAGGTTGGCAACAGATGCTTTCGTTGCAAGAAAGCAAACCACACGTCGAGAATGTGCCGAAACACGCCGCGTTGCACCAGGTGCCATGGACGGCATGCGCCTACAATGTGTGACCCGGATTACGCACCGGAACGGCCTTTCGCAGCGAGCAGAAAAGAAAAAGGTAAAAAAAAAGGTCACCCTTTAAGTGCCTCTTTCGGTACGAAAGGTGTTTGTTCATGCCCTTGTACATAGTGTGCTTTGGTATGGTGTGACTGTTTAAGGTCATTGTGCTCTTCGCTGGCAAGATAGAATTAACTGCCATTCACGTTCTTTGTTAAAAAAACAAATATTTCATGTGACCTGTGTCTAGAGAATGATGTCGATGTATTTAAAATATTGGGCTTTCCTAACTTTAGCTCACTTCTGATAGAAACTATTGTTCATAGGCAGTATTGGGCTAGTTAACTTAAAACCCCGTACATTCCGTCGCGTTATCTTAGACCCAAATACCCTTACTCTATACCTCGATGCTCAACAAAATTTGGAAAACGAACTCTTAAGTATTACGTGCCAGAAATCTTCGACGAACTTCCTTGTGAAATGCATAATATAAAAACAAAATACAAGCTTAAAAAAGCCTTGAGAAGTATTAGTTTTTAATATTGTTTAATGAATGCTATGTTTTGTTTCTGTTTCATTTTTTGCTGACTATATCTGTGCAGTTTCGTTTCACTGACTGCCAGGCGCAGCCAGACAAGCCCGATGTGCCTTTGGCAGACCTGATTGTGTACATTTTTCCTTGTCAAATAATAAGCATCTTAATATTATTAAACATATTATTTACGTAAATGGAAAGAACAGCAAGCCAGCAGTGTTCTTGCAGACGGTGATCCCAAGGGTCGAGAACAAAAACAAAAGAAGACTAGCTGGAATTTTTTTTGACAGGGGCAGTCAACGCTCCTTCATTACGGAGGAGCTGTCTCGGAGAATCGGTTGCAAACAACTCTGGACGGAGACTCCCACGTTCGGCGTGTTCGGAGGTGAAAGCACCGCGCGTACATTCCGCAGGGTGCAGGTGACTTTGCGGGACCAACGGTACAACAAATCATATGAGATCAGCGCCCTAGAAATACGTACCATCTGCGAAAAAAATCTAACGAGCCCAGACAAATCCATCATCATGGCGTCAAAGGAGCTCGGTTACCCAGTAGGAGACGACATGACAGGACTGGAACATTGCGGCGACGACGTCCTGCTTGGCTAGGATCACTACTGGGGGTATATCACTGCAAAGATTCACCGACTGAGAGGAAGCTTGGCTGCAGTACACTCTAAAAAAAGGGTATCACCTTACACCCTTTTGTCCCATATAATACACCCCAAAACTTCATTTCGACGTACAGCGCCCTATAGTCGAACAGACGGCAGAAACTTTTACCAGGGGCTTGATAACGGTACGATATAACTTATTAAATTGCTAAAGTACGTATCAAAGACCAAAGAAAGAAAACACGGAGCTTTTGCAGTACGGCCAAGAAAACTCCGATAATTTTTTTTTTTCAGTCAATAATACGTACATCAGCTATCTTATTACGTTGTACCACACGGCTATCAAGCCCCTCGTAAACTTTGGGGACGCCTGTTCGATTATGGGGCACTGTACGTCGAATGGAAGTTTTGGGGTGTATTATATGGGACAAGGGGTGTAATAATACACCTTTTTTTCTGAGAGTGAGAGACTGCATTCGGATGGGCGGTTCAGGGACGAACGGTGTCAAGCTCCGTGGTTATTAGTTGCTCCCAGATTGTCGCGCTGAGAACGCTGGGGCAAGAGCCTGAACCCCTGCCAAGCCTAAAGCAATTCTGGGAACTTGAGAACATGGGTGTCATCGACGCGTTGGTAGACGATCCTCCGGAAAACAACGTCATGCGAAACTGCAAAACCTAGAACGCCGAGACAAATGGGACGTAAGAAGTCAGCCTTCACTGCAGGCCGGACGTATGGTTGGAAGACAACAAAGTTGCTCGAATGCCAAAGAAGAACTGTCAAAGCTTGGATTGGCACCAATTGTCAGGAAAGGAAAACCCCGCCGACCTCACGTTACGATGTCTGGCCGCCTCTGGATTGGTCTCCGCTCCACTCTGTTGCTCGGGGACCAGTTGGTTGACACTCCCGGCTAAAAAATGGCCCAGGGAGAACCGCGATGAACCACCTCGAGATAAGGCCGAGGAGAGGGGAGCGAGAGCTGACATTTTACACATTATTTCTAAACCATCTGCATCTTTGCTCGACGTCACCACATTCAGCTCGGCTTCAAGGCACAAACAAACAAGAGCGTGGATGTTTCGATTCCTTCACAAAGTCCAGTCAATGAAAAAACGATCGGGGCCGCTGACTGCGGAGGAAATCCAAGAAGCGCGAAAATACTGGCTAAAAGGGCAAACCGATGGGCGTTTGCCGCCGAGCTTCGACGCACGACCAACAGGACCAAGACCCCATCTAATACTCCAATAAAAAACTTCAATACTTTTATCGACCAGGAGGGAGTGCTTCGCACAAGAGGTCGACTCCGGTCGAACAACTTGGCATATGATGGAGAAAACACCATTGTAGTACCGAAAAGCATCGATATTCCACGCCACTTGAGATCAACACTCACCGGACGACGCTACACGCAGGAGTGAGAAACACTCTATTCCAGCTCCACGAGAGGTATTGGATCCTTCGGGGCCGCGAGCTGGTGAAGAAGGTGCTGCGCATGTGTAACGTGCCAGCGATTTAGTGCTACTCCGGCAAGTGTTTCAGCGGAACCTTTACCGTGTACAAGAACGACGCAGGCTGAACCTTTCGAGGTAGTCGGTGTAGAGTTTGCAGGGCCGCTCTACATGTACGCTGAAAAGGTGACCCGTAAGTCGTATATCACGCTGTCCACTTATGCAGTGACGCGGGTGGTCCACTTAGAGCACGTATCAGACATTTCGACGAGAAGTTTTATTCTGGCCTTCCGTATTTTTGTGTGACGGAGGGGACTGTGCCACACTGCCTACTAAGACAACGCACTAACCTTCAAGAGAGCCTGCAGAGACCTGAAAGGTTTTTAGAAGAACCTTCGACACTCGGAAGAGGTGAACCCCTTCGTTAATGCGACCATTGAGTGGCGTTTTATTGTCGAGTGTGCGCCTTGGTGGGGAGGATTCTACAAGTGACTGGTCCGATTCGTGAAGGTGCGTCTAAAAAAAGTTAGCGGTAAAAAAATATTGACGGAAAAGAATTGTCCAGACTCTTTTGTTAAATTGAGGTCGCGCTAAATTCACGCCCCATTAAGTTCGTTTACAATGAGCTCCACGAAAACCAGCCGCTCACACCGGCGATTTTTCTCACGGGACGACGACTGACAGCAGTTAGACAAGCTGAAAGAGAGAAGACTTCGGGTTGTCGCCGGAGGTGCTTCGCCAGATAAGGAAACCAAGGAAACCGTTCCTCAACAGATGCTGGGAAACATGAAGATCAGAATATCTGAGAGAGCTTCGATCTGCCTTAGAAAGAAAAAAAGCGACAATCGTCATGCATGGACGTGAGCCGGCTTGTCCTTCTAAAGGAACAGCTTCCACGTTTGCTCTGGAAGATGGGAAGAGTTGAAAAGATTTTCTGTGCACGTACAGTGTGCTCAAACAAGGGCGTACTTCTGAAAAGACCAATTCAGCTTCTGTATCCATAGAAATAACAAAAAAAAATTAGAATGGCGTAACACCAATTCTGTGGAGGTTATGTACCAACAATCAAAGATCGAAGATGAGGAAGTGGGGCAGATACGTTTTGCAAAGGAACTCGTGGCCGGGGAGCTCGTGCCTCGAAAGAGCTGATATTGCCACGTCAGATCGAACTGCTTTGTTGCTTGTGAATATTGTAAATAAATGTTGCTTTAACGTAAGCAAGGATGACTACCAGAAGTTCCTTCAGAAGCTGTTGAAACAAGAGTATTTATTTGTAGTTCAGAAAATTCTTGTTTGAGCACCTCACATGCTGTTTCCCCTTTATTACGTTTTGTTAGTGAGAGGTCACAGTCAATGAGGACATGTTCCCAGGTGGCAATCTTATTGAATTACTGGGCTACGCCGAGGTTCGTATCGATGCTTATTCGCTCTGCTATTTTCTTATTTTTTGTTGAAAGTGGGGGAATGTTCTCGAAAATCTTTGCAAAGCGAGGCCGCTCGATAGCCTCCCTAGATGGATGTGTTCGAATCGAACAGATCCTCAGCAAGTACATGAGTCCCTCATTTGCCCTTCTGTTTTGCAGCGAAAATTCATTTGCTTCATGATGAAGACTATGAATAGGAGGCGTTTGGAAGGCTCCCGAGGCAAGCCGTATGCCTGCGTGGTGAACAGGATCCAACATTTTCAGGGCAGACACTCTTGCCGATTCATAAACAATGCATCCCATGTCGAGGCTGAACCGAACAAGTGAGTGGTAGATGTGCAAAAGGCACAAGCGGTTAGATACCCATGACTTATGGGACAGAACCTCCAGGACATTTGATGACTTTTGGCAACTCTTGTTCAATTTTTTTATATGACAAATGAAGGTCAATTTCTGGTCAAACGTAGGGCATAAAACCTTATGAGTTGTTTTTTTCTGGACTGGTTGGCAATAAATAGTCAACGATGGTTTCGGTATCACTCCCTGCTTCCGTGAAAAAAGTAACAAAAGCTGCCTTCTCAGTAGACGATTTCAATCTATTTCTGGCTGCCCAATTTACCATGTGATTAATTGCTACGGGCACCCAACGTTCACAAACAGAAAGATTGCAAGCCGACACAGAAATCTGAATGTGATCTACATACAAGGAATACTGGACCGATTTCGGAATAACACGTGTAAGAAAAATAATTTTGACTCCAAAAAAGGGAACACTAAGCACACCACCCAGAGGGGCACTATCCTCTTGCAGTTATTCTTCAGAGAGCATGGTTCCTAGTTTAACTTAAAAGGTACGGTGTTTTAATTAGTCTTTAGTATCAGCAAGCATTTGACCACGAATGCCAAAGGCATATAAATCAATGAGAATTCCACGACGCCAGGTAGTGTCATATGCCTTATTCAAGTCAAAGAGAACAGATATACAGAACTGTCGATTTACAAAGGCATAACAGACGGTGGTTTCGAGTCGTACTAAATAGTCTATATTTGACCTGGTAGATCGAAAACCACATTGAAACCTATCAAGCTAATATATACAATGACCTCTTGTTGACCAGTCTTTCGAAGAAAGCTAGTCAAGGTAATGGGCCTGTAACTAGACACTTCAGAAGGATCTTTGCCAGGCTTTAAAATGCGAATAATATGAGCATTGTTTAATGCAAGGGGCAGCAAACCCTTTGCCACACATGGTTACGAAGAAATAGAACACACTTCAAAGCAGAGGGGTGAAGGTGCATAAGCATGTGAAAGTTAATGCCATCTGGCCCCACTGCTGAAGGCTTAGAATTAAGGAGAACCATTTGAAGTGCAGTTGGTGTGGAATCGGTGTTATTTAGCTCCCTTTCGCCTGCCGTTGTTTTGATGGCCTTCTTTTCAGCTGGTACCTCGTACTGCTGGAAAGTAGCTGAATAGTGTTCCGAACTGAATACGAATTCAAAATACTCTCCTAAGACATCTACCTGCTCATTTAGGCTTTCTGAGCGTAGCCCATTTTTCGTTAACTGAGGAACAAAGAATGCTTGATATATACCGCTTACTTTGTGGATTCTATCATCATAGCTCTTTTGTCGTTACGCTGTTATTTATTGAGGAGGGATATGCTTGAAAACTCGTGCGTTTGGATTGCCTTCGTAGGTATCTAGCTCGGTCTTTCGTCTTTTCGAACTCTATGGAATTAATCTGTTTGGGGTAGCAGCGAAACCTACCCCATGCTTCATTTCGATTTTCGTATTCTTCTACATTCGTTGTTCCACCAAGGCTTCGGCCGTTTTGGAAGACGAGACGATGTCATTTGTATAGACAATTGCTGTAGCAAGGATGCGTTTGCTCAGAAGTTCATTCATATCGTCTATTGTGACTTCGTCGAGTGATGTACGAGCAAGCAATGTAGACTGCTCAAAACGAGCCTAATCGGCCTCATTAAGTTTCTATCGTGGGGCACGTTGGGAACGCACTGCTGCTGGAAGGGTACGCTCTAACACCATGGGATAGTTACCACTGCGATATGGGCTTGTAATAACCCTCCATGTAAATAGTGAAAGAACGGCAGCTTGTTCGATTGAGAGGTATATGGATATGAACGTATG